CCCGACCAGATCAGCGACTACGAGATCTACGATGCGGCGCCCATGACGCCAGAGATGATCAAAGCCTGGCTTGACACCAAACCGTGGAAACAGGAGACGGAAGACAAGTACCGAGGCGCCGATGGCAGAAAAGTTCCACAGGAGTACGTGCCGCACAACTGAATATGTAAACGTTAGCTGACTCTCGATGCGATGGTGCCTAGACAGTGGTGGAACCCGCCACCTGGCATTATCTTCCCTATGAAATCGAAGAATACGCGCGATGAGGAGATGAGGGTGTACCGTGAGGAGAGGAAGGCAAAGGAAGAGAAGATTGCAAGGGGAGAGATCGAAGCGGAAGTGCCTGTAGCGTGTAACAGTATCAAGAGTGACTATGATATCAGCCCTCGCTAGGGGTGGGCCGCGGCTATGGTCATCAATAGGTTGGTCTTATCCCAATGGTCGTGTTGGGGTCGTATAGTTAATCGCCCTCGAGCAGGAAAGATATGACGAGGGTCTGCAGCTGGCTAGATGCGATCCATGATCATGTCAATGATGCACAATGCTACTACGTTTCTTGAACACCATGCTCGTCTACTCAGCTTTTTTCATCAAATCCTCAGCGCAGTCGATACAAAGATGTCATTCCATCGTACTTGATGATCAAAGCATACCTAGGTAGACCGTTACTCTCCACGAACCTAAGTGTAAAGTTCCTCAGTAAGCGCATTCAACCCCATCCCCTCCTGCGCAATATCCTCTTCCTTCAAGAAAAGCAGCGGCATCTCCACCAAATTCCCCTTAATCGTGCTCAGCACCTCCTTAACCTCCCTGACACCCTGTTCGCCCTGGGGAAAGTTCTCCGCAACAACATGACCCCACTTGTACAAGCTCGGCTTCTTGTTCTCCTTGGCCTTTTGGTCCTGGCCGAAGAAACGCGAGTAGTACTCGTCGTATTGCTTCCAGTTCTTGACTTCGTCGCTGGGGACAGGGTGGAAGATTTTGCCAAAGGCTTGCGTGTTGGTGTGGGCGCGCCAGTTCCAGAGGGCCTGGAAGTCGTCGGAGAGGGGGTCGGCGACTTGGAGGTCTTCGGGGGAGCCCCAGTCGTATTGGTTGGGGACGCCGATGGGTTGGTAGTTGGCGTCTGGGCGTTCCATATCCTGGGGCTTGAGTAGACCGAGATGCTTCCTGAAAAGCTCTCTGCGGAGACTGGCTGCAAACTCAGATGCGCGGTAGGGACGGCCGTCCATGTATGAATCGACGGTCTTGGGGTCTTGGATGATGATTGCAATCTCGGAGTCGTGGTCGCCGAGCTGGGAGCGGTCGTTGAGGTTGGCTGAACCGCAGATGACGATTTGGTCGTCGGCAATGAGAAGCTTGCTGTGGATGTATAGCTCCTCAGATACGAAGGCGTCCATCTCATTTTCAGCAGAGCCCTCCCAAGGTACACGACGGATGTCTTCTCCGCCAAGCATGTAGCACTCGCTGACGGTGTCCCAGCGCCCATCGCCAAGGCCTTGTCGGCCACCGATCTTGACAGCTTCCTGCTGGTAGCGGTTGTAATCATCGGGCCTACCTTGACTCTGGGGACCAGCATCGTACTGCTGGTGTCCTGAGGGAGGGCGACCGGAGCCGTCCATCTCATACACTCCATACTCCTGGGTGGGTGGTGGGCGGTAGGCTTCGTAGCCACGTGCGTTATCGTGCGCTGCATCGTAGCCTTCCTGAGCCTGGTTGTAAGAAACGCCGCTGCGTTGCTCCGCCTCCTTCATGACCGAGCTGGAGTTGATGCGATCGTAACTGCGGAGGTTGTAGAAGCGGATGTAATCCATCGGGTTGAATCCAGCTCTAGCGATCTCCTCATAGATGGAGTGACCACCACGGTTGATGGAGTCATACTGGACTGTAAGACATCATAGTCAGCATAGCACATACGGAAGAGCCGACTCAGACTTACACTCCATGATAGCTCGAGTACCCAATGCCTCGTCGAGCTTCAAGTCTCCAGCAAAGGCAGGCACTGCAGGAATCATAACGATCATCTTGTACTTCTCGCCGTTTCGTGCAGCACGAACAATGCGCTCAACCATGGCCGCACCGATCTTGTTCTTGATCGGCTTCTGTTGATCGCCGGTAGCAGTGATAAAGAACTGGTTCTCAATGTAGATGAAGTGCTTGCTGTTTTTGATGATCTCACAGTAAGCATTTTGGATGGAATGCTAGCAAACTTGTCAGTGTTCATCCTCTCAGTCAGACATACTACTAACCTCAGTAGTGACTAGGTTGTGGCTCCATTTGGCCGAACTGCGGGCAATCTGGCAGTCCACCCCACCCTTCTGAGAGCTGTGTTCTGCGTGCGACTGTTGTTGACCGTACTGTCCATGTTCTTGGCCACCGTACTGCTCAAATTTACTCTGCATCTTCTGGCGAAGATGTCCACCAGCACCGTGTCCAAACAGCCCTCGCTCACCCTCCTCTTCACGACCAAATCCGCGCTCACCCTCTTCTTCGCCTTCCAATCCTCGCTGTTGCATCGAAGGTGCCTGTTGAGCTCCGCTGCCGGTGTCTGGTAACCTGGTGTATCTGGAAGATTTGTGAGAATACTTCTCGTCGTAGATGAAGTTCCAACGTTGGGCAAAGTGAGTACGAAGATCCTGTACTACAGGACCGGAGAGACACAGCGCTACATCAGACCATCCCATGCGAGAGCTTTGGGTCCTGTCGAGTTTGTTGTTCTCCCAGTGGGTCACGTCTTGGAAGTCTACTCAGTGTCAGCAAACATCACCGCCTCGTGTAGGAAGAGACCGCCTATCTGCCGTCTGACAGCCCTAGAGCACGACGATGACTTACCTAGCATACGAGCGTTGTTGAAGTCTTGACCTGGGAACACGATTCGGTCGATGTTGCCGGGATGCGCGTCAGCAATTGCGTGCTGGTTAGTGTCCCAACGACCGTAGCAAAGATCCAATCCTCCCATGAATGCGATATGACCGTCAATCAGGCAAAGCTTCTCGTGATGAGCCCAGTACATGACAGTACCCTCGTGAGCACCATAGATCGCCTTTAAACCGTCTCCAGGAAGCTGGGCAAGCTTTGCAGGTGTGAAGGACATGTTCTTCATCGACGCAAAGAAGGATGACTGCAGTACCGCCGCATCTGGCAAATGGTCGGGGTGTCGGAAGACACCAATGTTGGGGTGGAGGTCCTCCAAGTGGTGTTTGGTATGCGACGAGGAGACTGTAATAGGAGGGGCAATCAGCGGATCTGTCTTTTCCCACTCTTCAAGACTTTTGAATATAACATCTAGGCCGACCCGCGTAAGGCCTTTGGTAAACCTATCCGTCGAACTCGGTAAAAGAGAATGAAGATAGTCTGGTAATGTTGGATTCAAAAACTTACGAGTCAGAGCTTGCGTGACCTCCTTGTACACGATGATGTTGACCTTGACACCGCGTTCTGCTGCCGCATGCAGCAATCGGTCGACCCGGTACTGCTGGTTCTTGGCGGGCGGTCGGCGAAGATACAGCTCGGGAGAGAGCCACCAGTCGAGGATCCAGATCGACTCTTTAGCGCGCTCCAAAGCTATGGAGACAGCATACATGTAGCTACGGATGTCAATTGCCAACTCAGATATTTAATTGGCCGCTCAAAACTTACCTGCAGCCGTCAACATACCACTTGGTCTCGTTGCCATGTCGTTCAGGCGCGAAGCTCAAGAAGCGGTGTTGTTGATGGTACTCTTGCCCAGGCTGTGGCTGCCCGCCCTGTTGGCCCTGCTGGCCCTGCTGTTGAAATGTGCCCGGCGGGGGCTTTTGTGCGTTATCATCGCCGGATATGGCATCCTTGAGGTCGGAAACGAAGCCGTGGAGAGGGTCGTGGATCTTCTTGAAGAACGACATACCGCCGCTGCCCTGGTTGGAGGATGAAGAGGCGGGCTGGTTGTTCTGTGGTGCTAAGGTTAGGAATTTGTAGATCCAAGACAAGCTTCTAGATACGCGTCCTGTCCCTGCAGCAAGCTAGGCGGTGTAGAATAGGAACGCAAGATACGCGAAGACAGTGAATGACGAGGCAGCCCGGCGCTATGACTGTCGGGTAGTGGGGCAATTCCACTTCCTCAACGACGCGATACACAGGGAGCGTACAATGACCGCATGGCGTTTCAAAGAAATGTACTGACCTCTTTTTTGCCAAAGCCAAAACGCCGACCCATGTCGCCTATAAGGCCGCGATCTCCCTCGTCGCCCTCCTGCCCATGGTAGTCGCCATATGCCAGATCATCGTCTCGGCGAGACATTGTGCCGGACTGAGGCTTCTGGTTGTTTGCCACTCAGCGCGAAGGATGTAAAGTGGACGGGGTGTGCTGGAGCTTCAGAGTTGGAGCTTGAGGCCGAATTGACCCCGCGTCATCATCTCAGCGCGACGGACCACGCACATCCAATGCAGGGAAGCCCGAGCGTGCGAGCTGAACATGTGAAACAGACACCAATGAAGTGTGCGCACCCTGATTTCCGTCTCTGCTGGCCAGGCGCGTACCGGCACTAGGATCCAGGATGCAGCCCCTCATAGCCCTGGAGTACCCCACCATGTACGGAGCTTCCCCCTCTTTTGACAGCTTCGCCATGCTGCGCGACATGTGGTGGTAGCAGTTCAACCACGATATCGCATTGCGAACACCAAAGAGAACTGTAATAGAGCTTTCCTAGATGGTACAAAGCGCCCGCTCAAGAGTCCACACAACTTGTGGGCCGCATGGAGATGCGGCAGACGCACATGGATGACGTACCCTTGTATCATCGGCTGCTTGAGAGCGGTTCGGTAGCTGGAGAGCTCCTCTTCTTATCTGCCCACGTCGTTACACAACATCGTTGACATAGCCGTCTCCTCAATTTCCTATATCTTTCGCAATGGCTTTCTCATCTCGTCTTGCGCTTTCTGCTAGGTTGGCAACTCGCGCATTTGGATCTGTACGACCTGCTGTCCCTCTCGCAGCTACCCGTTGCTTCCACTCCACGCCCATCGCCATGACGCAACACCCAATTGCTACTTTGAACGTAAGGAGAGAACGAATCTTTGTCGGGCGACGCTAACAATCGCATAGGAAGAACTCATCCCTCGTCTGCCTCCCTCCTCCCCGACCCTCTTCGAAGCAAAGAAGAAGAAGAACCTCTCTTTCGAAGCTATCGCAAAGCACGTCGGACGCGATGAAGTAGCAATTGCCGCTCTCTTTTACGGTCAAGCCATGGCATCCGCCGAGGACATCAAGAAGCTGTCTGAAATTCTAGAGATTGACGCTGGGCTGATCGAATCGCTTGGAGGCTTCCCTAACCGAGGCAGCACGCTCGACATGCCACCAAAGGACCCGACCATCTACCGCCTATACGAGATTGTACAGAACTACGGACAGGCGTACAAGGCGGTTATGCACGAGAAGTTCGGTGACGGCATCATGAGTGCCATTTCCTTCAGCACCAAAGTAGAGAAGGAGACGGATGACAAGGGCGAGTGGGCCAAGATCACGCTGAGGGGCAAATGGTATGTGATAGTGCATGTATCCTCGACGGTTACTGACAGACTTCTAGGCTACCATACTCGCGATTTTAGTCGCACTGTAATAGCAACCAAAGATGTGATCCATGCCAAGTATAGTCTCTTGTAATTGTGGTTCTTTGTGTCAATACTTGTTCTGTTCGAGTATCGTGTCGTGTTTGAAGTGCTGCGATTCTTGCCGTGGGATCCGTGCTTGTTGTTCATGGTGGGGTTGTTGTTGATCTATGGTGCAGCTTCCTAGGTGAGAGCGCAAACCCACCGCTCTTGCCCATAATCTCCCTCACCTGCCATGCCTGCCTAACTCATCCTCACCCCGCTAGCCTTACCCTAGCTACATAAACACCTCGAGCTACAAGAATCCAACCCTTCAACACCACCATCTTTTCTGCGTCCACCACGACCAATCTCTTCCTTCAGCACACGGTCGATCCATACAAACGTCTCTCACTCCTGGGAAAAACACTTAGTCAACAGACAATTCCCTACTGGTATCTCGCGGCACGCTGCTCGTCCTGACAGGAGAGAAGCTTTGACGGCTGCGCACATACGTCACCTTTACTGGTACTACTATACAACCAGGGCTGCCAATCAAACAAGCGTACCCAAGGCGACAACCTAGTTTGTCCGCACGCGCAGGTGAGCGCAGCTTCAATACCGCGGTCTTTGCTTGCCTTGAGACTGACTTCGCACATAGTAGAAACGAGTCAAGCTCGTACCTCCAAGAACCACCCCCACGAACTCACAAGAGTCGATCACGACCACGAAGCCAAGATGCCAGCCACACTTGAGCCAATCCGACGCGTCAAGTGTACTTACAAAGACTGCAACATGTCTTTCGAGACGGAGAAGATCATGAAGAATCATAAGAAGAACACTGATGAACACGAGTACTGTCACAAGTGTGACGAAGACTTCGATACCTTCGAGGACTACGCCATGCACAAGATCACGCGTCCAGAAGAGCACAACCTGGCATGCCGTGTCTGCGGTGACGAGTTCAAGAGCAAGTCAGGCCTGAAGCGCCACATCGAGCTCAACCACAGAGTCGACCAGAAGCTCACCTGCATCGGCTGCCAGAAGTCGTTCTACCGCGCATGCCTCTTCATCGAGCATCTTGAGTTCGGCCACTGCGACGTCATTCCAGCACAGCAGTTCCAAGGCCATATCGTCCACAAACATTTGATTGCGGATTTGTTGGACGGCGGCGAGCAATACCTTCGTTTTCTGCAGAAGACATCCAAGTACGAGGCAGCCATTGACAATGATGATCCGACTGGAGTCGACCTCACTGATGATCATTTCGGCGCCGAGCATGAGATCGAAGAGGTCAAGTACGAGGCGATCAAGCCCGATAAACCCGAACACGAGGATGTTCCAGTCTTCTACGGCCGGTATCCTCCTCTTCCCTCTCAAGCCAAATCCATTCCGGACGTGGACGCGGCAATCGCACCGATGATGAGTGGAATCTCTCTTAACGGAGATGTCGACAATGACTCCGATTGTTCAACAGCCGTCGGATCTCCTGTCGTCACTGGCTATCCTGCACGTACTAGTTCTCATCTCGGACACTCTCATCAAGGCCAAAGTTGCTCTTCTGCACATGGCGATTCCGCGGCTCAGAGCTCAAACACCCAGTCCTCCAGTCGCCAGACCAAGATCTGGGGCTCTCGCAAGGGCAAGACAACGAGCTCAGTACTATTCCCCAACGCCAAGCCCAAGGCCCCTCCCAGCGACTTCTCCATCTCCGCCCACGACGAGATCATGGAAAAGGAACACGGTCGCAACATCTTCAGCTTTCGGTTCTGGGATCCCATGAGCGACGACTGGAATCCCGAGCGCTTCTGGGACCCCATCGTCAACAAGTACTACTGTCCCTTCATCTGCGAGTAAGTCCATCATGCCATCCTTAGTCCTCTTCCCTCGCTAACCCTTCCCCAGACAGTCTTTCCCCATATCCAGCGACCTCCACACGCACATTCTCGGCGACCATCGCATAACCCGCATGAAATGCCCAAAGTGCCTCAAATACTTCAAGTCCGCCACCGCGCTAATGGCGCACTGCGAGTCGCGCGGAGCCCGTTGCAACATCAACCAGACGGACAACTTCAACAACTTCCTCGACCGCATGTCTGGAGGCTTCCTGGGTGTCAATGAGAAGATTCGGCCTGATCACCTTAATACGCGTTCTGTTATGATACAGAACTCGGAGACGGGCCATATGGAGCTGTACAAGCCGCCGGTTGCGAGCTATCTCCAGTATGAGGTTACGACGCCCCCGGATTGGAAGGAACCGGTTAGGCAGGGTGTGACGATTGGGGGCATGGGCGGGGGATCGCGGTGGTGAAGTGAGGTGATGGTGGTGCGGTAGGGATGGGATGGAGTTTGTGTATGTGGCTTTGGTGACAAAAACCCTAGGAGGAGATTGATTGCCTCAGGGACCAGTCGGTATCTGGTGAATTGCACATGGCAATATCACGGTGGCACTAGTTTTCATTTCCCCTAATCGGAGTGCTTTACTGTGCTCTCCCGGGTCGATCAATCATGATGATATGTAGAGAAAAATGTACCCAACTTGACAACACAAAAATGCAGTTTTCCAAAGCACCTCATACAAGAAATAACCTAAACAGGCCGGGAGTCTACATCGACACCAGGCCACCTATCTTGTATGATTTCACGTTAATGTAGGCTGCAGGCCTGTTCAGCTTTTTTCTTGGTTGACATGAAAGTTGAATACTTGGTAACTAAACTCTCGCTATTCCTGGATGCAAGAGGCCGTTGATTGTAAACCACACAATTCACATCTCATCTTTATCTCAGCTAACCCACTCCCGCATCTACATAATCCGACCCACCGCCATCTCCGCCATCATATTAGGCAAATGACTTGGATTCAAACTCCGCTTACTCGGCGCGTCCGTCGTCGTAAGATTGAGGCTTCCCATGTCGCACCATGAGACTCCATTTGTGGTAATAGGCTGTTGGGAAGAATGTCGTTAGCAAACCATATCTTTTGCCAGATACAACCCAAGATGGGACATGGATAGAACGGGGCATAGAACTTACCAAACAGCTCAAATGCTTACACCAACTACACGTATTCCGCCACTCATAAAAGTTTCTCAACAGGAGGATAAATCCGATAAACACCGCTACCAGGCCGCCCGCACGGACAAGCCACCACGCCCACCAGAGCGGCTTCCTCCCCTTGAAGAAGCCCACGGGCTGCTTCGCAAACGCCGTAATCTTGCTATTGCTGGTTTTAGGTTTACTGCCCTCATCTCCGTCCGCGCCAATCGACGCAGAATGGGCTAGCGGTGCCGTATCTACAGTCGCATACGGGGGTTCACTCTGGCCCGTGCGTGCGCGCAGCGATTCGGGAGAGTGGATGATACAGATACCTAGTACGATGCCCATGAGGAACCCGCCGATGTGGGAGAAATTGTCCAGGCCGGGGAGTAGACCGATGACGAAAGCGATGGCCATGTCGAGGAGGAGGAAGAGGAGGTCTTTGACGGGGCTGCGGCGTGTAGACCAATTGTACAGTAAATCCAGCATGGTGAGTGCGAGGACGCCGAAGAGGGATCCAGATGCACCGACGGAGGTAATGCCGTCGGGGGCGTAGTTGCCGCCGAGCACGAAACCGAAGATGCCAGCGGAGAAGTATACGAGTGCGAAGCGGAGGGGGCCGATTTCCTTTTCCATGTCGCGGCCTAGAGTCCACTGGAGGAGCATGTTGAAGCCGATGTGAATGAGTCCTGCGTGTAGGAAAATAGGTGTGATGAAGCGCCACCATTGGTTGGGTTCGTGGCTGCGGTCTTTGAAGTCTGTGACGGAGGTTTGGTCGGGGACGCCGCTGCCCATGCCGCAGAGTTCGGCGAGGGTGCATTTGTTGTCTGTGAGGGTCGTCGTGTTGGGGCAGGGCCAGTCTACGACGGGGCCAGGTTGCGCTTCGATGACGCGCTTGATGTTGTGCATGCAGGGTGTGAAGCGCGCGCCCATGTTGATGAGGACGTAGGGCGAGGGGCCGATCATGATGTTGAAGTTGGGTTTCGTTTGGATGGGGCTGCCTGTTAACATGCCTGGAGGTTGTTAGTCTGTTTCTATACTCTGACAGATGCCAGACGTACCATTCTTGATCAGTTCTCCCACGAATACACCGACTTGCACCGCCGTAAGAATATACACAACCCACGTCACCCGTCCACTAAACATGCCTTTCTTCTTTTTACTCTTTCTCCGCCTCGGTTCTACGCCCATGCCGTAGTACTCTGGGTCGCCATTATACCGCGTCGGACTGCTGCCATCCATCTTCGGTTGGTTCTGAAGCGGTATTGCGTTCTGGTCGGCAAACGGGTCTGGTTGCCGCGCGTACGGGTCGTTGATGTGTGCCGTCGAGCTATATTGTGTGGGAGGTTGGTACGAGGTATTGGAATACGATGTATCGATGGGATAGCCGCCGAGGGCTCCACTGCTTGCGGTTTGGGTTGGGTAGGGCCGGTCGCCAAAGGGCGTGCTGACGGGCGAGATGGAATGCTGGGTGTGGTTGCTGGGTATCGGTGGCAGAGGCCCATCGTTCCTGTCATGCGACTGCCCTTGGGTGTTGCCGTAGTAGTCGTTGGCCGCCATGATGGGCAGGCACTTGTGGTATTAGGAAGGCGCGAAGGTGCACAACTCGATGCGCAAGAGTAGCGGGGGTACGTCGTGTGCAAGGGCGCAATACAGGTGAGGTCGACTCTGTCGAACAATGAAGTTGTGGGGTAGACGAAGGGTTTGGCCTTGCTTAAGCTGGGGGGCGTGCGACGACTCGTCGTCTCCGGAACAAGCCTCGCGCAAGCCTTGTGTAAGTCCAGGGGTTCCTTCGGCGTCTCGGAAACACGAAAGAGGAACGAGAAGAACAGGTTAATTCAGAAAACTCAGGCACCCGCTGTTATATGCACCAACGCCAGCACACAACGCAGCAACGAAGCGAATGTAGGAAACGAGAGGCTAAGAGTTGCGGTCGCCTAAAGCTTGCTCTTTCTATAGTCTATAGAGATTACGTGCATAGAAGCCTATTAGATAAGGACATATCTTAGTAAACTTTGTCTTTAGCTACCTAGCCTTAATCTATACTTAAAAAGACTTAATTACTAGCCTCTCTAGTCTTATCTTATAAAACTTTAAATATACTACTATAGCTAAGCTACTGCTGCTACTATTACTAAGCTACTATGCCTTTTTTATTTACTAAGGTTATGCTCTTTCTTATAAAGCTTATATCTTAAGAAGACCTAAGTCTTTACGTTGTAGAATAGCTTAATACTTTTATTTTATAGCTTTTGCTAATAAAATAGAGCTATATTTATCTTACTTACTAGAACTATATTAATAACGCTAAACTAGAGCCTCTTGCCTATAAGTTTAACAACTAAGAGCGCCTATTTATTTGTACTTACACTAATTATAAGCTTAAGATAGCTTGCTTTTACTAAGATAACATAGTAGTTATAAGGTAGAATAGAATTACTAAGTTAGAATAGGTAGATTAGTATAGCCTAGTCTTAGGGTTAGAATACTAGAAGTCTAAAAGCTAGAGCTCTACAAACTAGAAGTCTAGAAATTTAAGCTAAAGGCTCTACAACTCTTTGCCACAAGTTTGCGTATGCAGAGGCCGACCGGGGCTCAGAAAGCGAGTGATGCGCAACTCAGCCCCAGCTGTGGAACCGGTAAAGGATGCTGTACCCTACAACCTAGCGTCTAAGCGGCGATCTGTGGCGTAGACGTGCTAATAATAACTGCCGCGCACCTTGGAGTCACTGACATACACTGAATTGACGTAGAAAGTGGCGATGTGAATGTAGGATGTATCTAGTTTTACTTGTCGCATTTTGGCGACTGCGCGCTGGCATGGAACCACGTGCAAACCCCTGGAGCTTGTGGCAGTTACCGTTGCGCTGCTGCAGCCACTGCGGAAAGTGGAGCTGGCATTCGCACTAAAAGGTATAAGATCCACTTGTTTACGCGGACAGTGAGACATGCGTCACCTACATCATCAGGTCTGCATGCTGATCCCAAGATCCTCTCCTGATGATGCTGATGCAAAATGTGAAGAATATTACTGTATCCAATTCACTCTATCTAGCCTACAACGGCGGTAGGCTCTCTCTGCAATTCGGACACATAAGTCGATATCGCATCCACCCTTCCAGACACCCAGTGTGGAATATGTGCCGACAAGGCGTGACCATGTACTGCCTTCGCTGTAGAATCATACTCGTCCCGCCCATGCCAGCCACGCTGCTCTCATCAGCGCCTGCGGGTATGACAGGGACTTCGATGTCGTTGGCGCAGATACTGCAGTCGAATACTTTTTTGCCTTTCGATTTGGATTCACCTGAGGCTTTGGAGGATTCGCCGTCGGGGGCAGAGGCGTCGATTGTGGTGGGTGAGTCTGTTGATGTTGTGATGTTGAGGGGCATTGTTGCGCCTTCTTCGTCTTCGCGCAGAACGGGGTGGTAGTCGTATGCGGGGGGTGCCCATCCGTCTCTGATGAAGAAGCGTGGACCTAACATCTCCTGGCTCACCAACACTACCACCTGAAACCACACCCACCCGGCCAGGAAACCCATTGCTCTCCAGTCTGTTCTTGAAAACAGTACGTTGTCTTCTTTCATGTAAAAGTACGCTACAGGTGCGATGCGGGCCACGCTCGTTCCTACAACGTAGTCCCAGCGCAGTGCTCGCCGGCAGTTGCGCATGATGTTCCGGTAGATCTGCGGTGCCCAGAATGAGAGGTAAATGAAGGTGATGACGTCGAAGTAAATCGCGCGATACGTCGTGCGAGCTGTCCCGAAATGTATAGTTACAAAGAACAGAACGATGAGCATAAGGCAAAAGCGGCTGTACAGTGCACCAAGCTCGGCCCGGGGATTCGCATTCGTTGTCGTAGCGCCAGCTGGAGTGGGTGTATTGTTTGGACTCGGAGTGAGGTCTTCGTCGGGGTCGTCCTGGTCTGGTGCGATGATGATGGGAGTAGGTGGACGTGGCGGTCGAGCGGCAGTAGCTGGCAAAGGTAAACCGCCATCGGTGGGCGGAGTTGGAGCTGCAGGCTCAGGAGCCGGAGTTGGGGTCGCAGTAGTAGTTGCAGGACTTCGTTGTCGCTCTTGACGGGCTCTCTCCGCTGCTTGCACAGACCAGATATCCATCAAGAAGCGAAGATGGGTCAGTACAGAGAAAAGCGCTATGAACGCGATGCTGTACAGCGCCAACTGTGCCGTACCGAGGAAGAAGTACATGAAGATGAGAATCAAGAATGTGAAGCCATCTCCAAGGGCCATCATAGCAATTGTATAGAAGCTGACC